AAATGTAATTATATAATAAAGGAAGGGGCAAATATGTAATTAGGGGAGGAGCCCTTATTCTATAAAAGGGCCTCATCACCCTCACAAAGAAAAAGCCTCCTCACATCCCCTAAGCTCTCTCTCCCTCTTCAACAGAGAAATATAATACAATCAGTGTGGACGTAGCCCAAACCTTGGGGTGAACCACGATAACTCTTGTGTCATTTACATTTTATGCAGATTCACGGTCGGATTTATGTTGTACCAAGACCATCCGGTTTTGTGCATCAACAACCTGAGTTACTTATTCTGTTTTATATTTGGCATGACATACTTATGATTATGAATATGTGAAGCATGATTTGAATATAATATATATATATATATATATATAAATAGATGTATATATTTATATTCTATTTATGGGAAAATTTATACATGTTTTACGGCGAGGGGTTAGAGCATTTTAATGATGAAATAGTTTTGAAAAACATTTGTTTTTGCCCACTCACCTTTTCTGTTTTGCGCCCCTCCAGGTTTTAGGTAGACTTGCGATTGGTGGCATTGAGGATCTCGGCGGTTCTGACATAATAAAATATTCGTAGGATATCTTCTGATACTGTATAACTAGTACTTGTTCTACTGGACTGCACCTAGACTTTCTATGCTTTGATTAGGAGTATTTACACTTGTATCTCACTCCTAGCACTTCCTGTTTATTAATGCACATTAGTAGCTTTCGGTTTTTATTTGTTCACATATTTATTATCCTTATTGTTTCCGCACTGTACACATGGCTACATCACCCTCACATAACGGCCAGCACGCCTTAACTTAGGTCGGGTTGTGTTATATACACGCCCATACAGTAATTTAATTGAGAGATACTTATATAAGAATCAAACAACATGATGCTGATAATTATAACTACTACTACACTAATGGTAATTTAATAAGTGAAATTCATACTTTTTACAAAATTAAATTACGCATAATTTTAATTGTGTGTTTTAAATCAATATTTTATATTACTTTAACATGCATGAAAATTATACCATTGAATTTATTTTAATAAGTTCTTCAATATATGTCCAATATTGATTATTTTCAAATATTTTTATTTTAGTACTCAAAAGAAACCATAAGTATAAACCATAACAACAAAAAATGACAAACTTCAAAAAGTTGCATCATTCCATGTTTTTTTTGTTTTTTTTTTTTTTTGAGTTGAGCGATAACTTTAGTAAGTGATTGTTAAATTAGTCACGGGCAAAGTTCAAACGCACGCCGTCATCTCCTTTGTTTTTTTTTTTTTTTTTTTTTGTCTTTTTTCTTTTTTTTTTGCATCATTCTGTTTGGTTCTTTAAAAAATTAACAAAAAGGGATAAATTTAATTTTATATTAAATTGACATCTACTTATGTTTCCCTCTTTCACTTGTATAATTCACTAGTTTATAAGGGAGCTTTAATGAAAAGGGCTTGGGCCAACAAATATTTAACCAAAAATCATCCTAAAATGTTATTTAACCAAAATAGCTCAAAGTTTAATAAAAAAATCATCCAAAAAATTGTCTACCTTTTTCGTGCCCTTATCCTCCTCTTCCTCGTCATCGGCTTCATCCTCATCCTATTATCTGCACCACGAACAATTTATAGTGTTAGTATTTTATTCCAATCAGAGCAAATAAGGACCTACGTTCCCAGTGATGTACGTACATGTCAGGCGTCTGTAAATAGGAAAAAAAATGAACCAAAACTTAAAACTGTTTCTGGAGAACCCAAAACATAACACTATTTCTGGAAAAAAAAATCAGATACATTGTTTGTTTTTTCTGTGCACAAACAAACACTGTATCTAGAAAGAAAAGAACCCAAATCCAAAAACCGTGACTTAAATTCCAGAAACAGTGACTTAGATTCCAGAAACAGTTCATTCCATGCCGCGAAACAAAGCCGTTGACCAAGGTGTTTAGGTTTGTCCGATCTGTGAGTGGTGGCCCGGGAAAGGAGTGAGGTGAGGATGGGGAATTAGCTGAAGAGAATACGTGGAGGAGATGAGGGAGGGTAGGGAGTGATGGAATAATGGTATAAAGAAGAGGGAGTGAATGAGGAAGAGGGGGTGAAGAAGGATGTGGGAGTGAGGGGAGGAGATGACCGGCGATGTGGGGAAAGAGAGAGAGATTTTTATTAATTAGTTTTAATTATTAAATAAAAATTAAATAATTAATTTAGTTTTTCAACTAATTTTAATTATTAAATAAAATTAATAATTAATTAATTTTTTATTCTAATTGGCAAAAGAGCGGGCCTTGTTCCTGCCACATCATTTAGGGGTGGGCACGGGCTGGGCTGGGCCCAATTTTGGAGGAACCGGACCTTACCCGTTTTAAATAGTAACGGGGCAGGATGGGCCGGGTAAAGGGAATTTGAGTTTAGGAACCGGACCTAACCCAGCCTATTTCAAACGGGCCGATTCGGGGACGGGTTCACGGGTCCATCTCCTTTTTTTTTTTTGTAATTTATAAACTGCATTGCAGCAACACAGACATGTTTTAGAAAATTACAAGACCTGTTTCACAAGCTTATGCACACAGGAGCTGTTTTTGAAAATTGAGGATGCACTGCACATCTATTCTTATATATTCTTATATAGACACACATATATTAATAACACTCATCGCCCTCATCTAGCAATGAACAGTGATAGAGATCCTAAATTCTTGTGTTCCCTTACACACTAGAGAATCGAGAAATGTACATGCAACCTCCAGAGCAACTTCTAAAACCCTAAACTCAAAGGGCAAATAATCAGACTGCCAAACATCACCTACTCCATTTGTTGTCAATCTTCTCTGAAGCTCATCAGCCGTGGATTCTCATGTTAAGGAGGACTGCGTCAAGAAATTTCCCTTCAACATTCTCAAAGTATATGTCACTGCCTTTCGGAAAGTACCTGAAAGAAGCAGGTTGTGATGAGTCACCTTGCTCAAACTGTGTATCTCCAAAATAAAGCTTTGCAGAAAGTTGCAGATATAGATAAAGCTTTGCGCACATTACTGATTCTTTCAAATTCATGTGATAAATTGACAAAGATGTATACCGCACAGATGAAGCTCAAAAGTTATATATACTCTTTGCAGGACATTAAAGTTGTTAAAATATGCATTCTTCGGCTTCAGAGCAAAATTCAAGCTCATTATTTATGCAAATATGCACTGACCATTTCAGAGTTGCGTTCAAGTCATGCTCTTCCTTGTAATTGAAAGCTTCATCAAAGTTAAGCTTACTCTTCAAAAGGTCAACCTAGTAAAAAAAAAAGGTAGAAATTGATCAGTATTGTTTAAAACTATATTCAACCAGATACCCCACCAAATGCAACAATCTTGAACTTTCATAATTTATTAAATTTTAGAACACTTAAGTTATTCTTGGAATAAATAAACTCCATTTTTAGAAATTTGCACACAAAAGTGAAAAATGCTTTTGGACTTCTGCATTATATCCAACTAAAGAATCATATTATACAACACCTACTCCAATACATAGTTATCAAGGGAATTCAAAAGCAGAACCTCATCGGCCGTAATAATACATCGAATCTGCTCTAGATTAACCACAATAGCTTTTTCTCTTCCAAGGATGGTTGAAGATACATCTTCTATAAAGCTTTGAATGTAAACTCATCTCTAAAGAGCATCATATAGAAATTCAATCTACAAACTCATCTTTGACTTACAAGCATCAAGATTGCAGCTTCAATTACCAATTTTAGTTCAAAAGTCAATATCTTCAAAAAATTGTAACAAATTTAAATACCAACAACTTAAAATCTACAATCTATAAACAGATCCTTAAAATTCAAAACCAATCGAAAAGGTTCAATAAGCAATCAAATCATAGCAGTCCATATAATGAATCGAAAAGCTTATGCAATCACAACCCCAAAAAACCTAAATTCCCAAATCAGAAACCCACATAATTCCTAAATCAATTGAAAAGCTTATGCAAAAACCCTAAATTCAGAAACCCTAATTCATAAATTACCCAGGGATTTGCAGGATGATGGTGGTGTTCTCAACGGCGAGGATGGTGTGGTGGTGGCCAGAACTCACGATTGGAAGGACCGGAGGAGAGTCAAGAAACGATGCCACGATGGTGATGGTGGCTAGTTGCTGTGATGTCGACACAGTCGAGGTCGATCACTCACCATGAGTCTCAAGGAGTTGAGTCCAGTAGGGGTAGGAAGGAGAACAAGAAAGTGGGGAGAGTCGATGGACGGAGATGGCGCCTTATTGAGGCCTAAAATGAGATATGAGAGGATATTCAGGGAGTGAGTGCGAGGTCTGAGAGAATCGGAGAGATAAACATTGTTGTACGTTTTAATGCAAAGATGTGATCAACAGACTAGATTAAATCTCATATTTTTGAACGGTGGAAACGGTTCGAGTTAAGGACCCGTTTCCTCAGCAGTTAGGACCCGCCCCGCCCCACAATTAACGTGGAACCGCCCCTCCCCACCCCGTTTCAGATTTTAAAAAATTGGACCCGTCCCGAACTGCTTGGACCCGCCCCTACCCTTGGGTCCATGACCCATTTGCCCACCCTTAACGTCATTATTTAACAGCCAAATTGACGGAAAATTTAACGGAGGTCTAACATTGCAACGAATTCATAAGTTGAGATATGACATTGCAATGTTTAAAATATAAGGTATGAGATTGTGGTTCGACCAATAATTGAGGTAGTTTTGTGTAATTTACTCTAATAATTATTTAACTGTCAATTCTTTCAACATTTAAACTGTATATTAACAAAATTCTCTTTATCGACTAAAATAGGATAAAAAATAATTTGATATTTTATCACAAAATAAAATCATAAATAGTAATATAATTTTGTACATATCAAATTTTACATTTTTTTTCTCAAACCATCTCTAATTATTTATTTATTTTATTTTATTTTATTTTATTTTATTTTATTTTATTTTATTTTTAAACCACGTCCTCACCGCCTCTCTCTCTCACATTTGTGTCCGACTACTCTTTTTACGTTCTATCGTACGCTAGCTCTCCCTCTCCGACTCTACCTCCCTGTTCCGCCGTCTATAATTTCCCACGACCTGCCCACCCGTCATCCGTTTTGCTTCCGATCGCGCTCAACATCTTCTCTCTCTCAGGTCAGTAGTTTTCTCTTTTCGTTCGTCAGTTTTCTCTATCAGTTTCGTTCTCTTCCGATAATCACGATCATCCCTCTTGTTGGGACATTTCTTTGCTTACTTATTGCGCCCAATTCTTGGTATTTTAGTTCTTATTTTATTTTTACGTTTATATTGGTATTAATTTATATCTTGCACTCTAGAATGGAACCCCATTTTGCTTTCTTGCTGAACTTTCTTTTTTTTTTTTCTGTGTAAAATATATTAATCTGGTGCTTAATGGGTTTTTAATTTCCAATTGTCTGGTTGATTATTTGGTCCTTTTGGTTTACTTTGATATTTGTCATGGATAGGGATGGGCAAATACCCATCGGTTATAGGTAACTGTGGTTACCCGTCCATTTAAATTTCACGGTTACAGTTATGGGTAATCATTTAGAAAAATAAACGGTTATGGGTATAACCGTTTACCCGTGAAATTTAAAATGAGTGGTTATGGGTAGTAACCGCGATTATAAACGAGTAACCATTTACCTGTTTATTTTATATATGTAATTGCTGTCAATATTTTATCAACTTTGTTGTCGACTATTGAATGTTTTATGTATATTTCATATATAAAACAGTTACAAGATCAAACATATATAGAAGAAGAAACAGGAAATAAAATGGAGGACAAAAGATAGAGGACAATGGCAGCTAAGCAAGCATAATAATGACCTCTACTCTCTCTAACTTAAGCCACTAACTAGCTTTACAATGATGAGGGAATATTATCACTTAACTATGCCTAAAGTAAACATTAAATAAGAGATGCACCATGACTAAAACAAACAGCTAACACTAGCACTAAGACTAGCCGAAAGCTGAGCTGTTATCCATCAAAACTAGACAAAAGCTTGCATTATTCTTCCAACACTCCCCCTCAAGCTGAATTAAGGGATCCCTTGAGCCAAGCTTGGACAGAATGCATAGAAACGGAACCATAGGGACAGATTTGGTAAAAATGTCAACCAATTGATCATGCTGCGAGTATAGTAGGTGGTTATGATTTTAGATTGAACCTGTGCTCGAACATAATGACAATCCAATTCATATGCTTCGTTCTCTCGTGGAAGACTGGATTGGAAGCAACGTGCATGGCAGCTTGATTGTCACAGAACATAGACATAGGTTCATTGCTGGGAAAGCCTAGATCCAACAGAAGGCTTTTCAGCCAAATAAGTTCACACGCAATGGAGGCCATAGCTCGATACGCGGCCTCTGCACTGGATCGAGCTACGACAGTTTGCTTCTTGCTGCACCATGTTACCAAATTGCCACCTACAAAGGTGCAAAAACCTGTTTTGACTTACGATCAAGAGAATTCCCAACCCAATCAGCATTTGTACATCCCATGATGGCAGTGCTATCATTTTTTGTCATAAGGAGTCCTCGACCAATCGACCCTTTTAGATAACGAAGAATTCTCTTCACAATTTGCATATGAGCTAATGTAGGAGCATGCATAAATTGACTCACAATACTCACGGCATAAGAGATATCAGGACGTGTGATTGTGAGATAAATAAGCTTTCCTACAAGTCTTTGATACTTAGTAATATCAGAGAGAGCTTCACTGTGAGTACTAAGTTGTAGCTTGCTATCCAAAGGAGTACGTGTAGGTTTACTATCTATTAAGCCAGAGTCCTTCAAAAGATCAAGAATGTATTTCCTTTGATTGAGAAAGAGGCCTTCCTGTGAATTTGCAAGCTCAATACCTAGGAAATATTTAAGATGTCCCAAATCTTTGATTGCAAATTTGTTTTGAAGAGCGAGCTTGAGAGACTGAATTTCTTCAGCATTGTCACCTGTCACTATAAGATCATCAACGTAGATTAAAACGATTACTTTTCCAACTAAGCCATCACGAACAAATAGTGAGGAATCAACACTACTTCTTTGAAAGCCAAACTCTTCAAGAATGGAGCTCAGTTTTGCATACCATGCACGTGGAGACTGTTTCAATCCATAAATGGATTTGTGCAGTTTACAAACCATGTCAGGGTCATTTGATTGAGGATGTCCGGGTGGTAGTTTCATGTACACTTCCTCCTCTAATTCCCCATGCAAAAAAGCATTCTTCACATCCATTTGATAAAGAGGCCAAGACTTATTTACGACAACTGATAATATAACCCTTACAGTGTTCATTTTGGCTACGGGAGCAAATGTTTCCTTGTAATCCAAGCCATAAGTCTGAGTAAATCCACGAGCCACCAAACGAGCTTTGTGCTTTTCAATCGTCCCATATGAGTTGAACTTAGTCTTGTACAACCAACGGCTGCCAACTGATTTCTTCCCTTCGGGAAGTTTAACCACACTCCAGGTTCGGTTGTCATGAAAAGCTTGCAGTTCATCCCTCATAGCTTTTTGCCAAATTTCAAGTTCATTTGCTTCTTGAAATGTTTATGGTTCATGAGTATTGTCCAAGGTACTAAGAAAAGAAGTATGAGAAGGGGAAAACTGCTTATAGGAAACAAAGTTTGTAAGAGGATACCTAGAAGTGTAGGTGACATAATCATGTAGTCGAAGTGGAGGCTGTCGAACCCTAGAAGGGTTTCGACGAATTGGAACTTGAGGTTCAATATCTGTGGTTTGAGATGAAGGTAGCTCATGCAATAGAGTTGGTGGGTTACGTGAAATGGGACTTTCTTGATAGAGAGGAACACTAGGTAATGGAAACATGTCACTCAAAAACTCCCCCTGATCTGCATCACTTAGTTTCTTGGAGAAGTAGGGCATGTTTTCATCAAATCTCACATCCCTTGAAACCATTATTTTCTTTGTGATTGGATTGTAACACTTGTAGCCCTTTTGGGTAGATGAGTAACCAAAGAAAACACATTTGGTTGCTCGAGGATCCAGTTTATCACGGTGGAGAGATTGGTTGTGAACAAAGCAAGTGGACCCAAAAACTCTCAAGTGTGAGAGATCATTTTGTCTGTCCTTCAACACGTCATATGAAGACTTGAAACTGAGTACTTTACTAGGCAATCTATTGATTAGGTAGGCAGCTGTAAGTACTCCTTGTAACCAAAATTTCTTTGGCACATTCATATGAAACATGATTGATCTTATCTTCTCAAGAAGGTCTCTATTCTTTCTCTCAACAATCCCATTTTTTTGGGGTGTGCCAACACATGTTGTTTGGTGCAGTATGCCATGAATACTAAGATATTGAGACATGTTATGGGACATGTATTCAGTGCCATTGTCGGATCTTAATATATGAATTTTTGATGCAAATTGAGTACCAACCAGTTTGTGAAAATCTTGAAAAACATTTGAAAGTTCACTCTTAAATTTCAAAAGATACAACCAAGTCATCCTTGTAAAATCATCAACAAAGGTTACAAAGTATTTATATCCATCAAAGGACTCTAGTATTGGACCTCAAATGTCTGAATGAATGATTTCGAAAGGATGGCTAGCTTTAGAAGTGGAAGAATCAAAAGGCAACCTAGAAAACTTAGACAAGTGACAAACATCACACTTTAACTTGTCCTTACATATTTTTGGAAACAAAAAAAGACATTACTTTATCAGAAGGATGTGCCAAACGTTGATGCCAAAGTTGTTGGTTTGAAAAACACTTGAACTGACTTGAAAAAGCTTGGGATTCTTAGTGTCTTTAGCCAAGTAGTAAAGCCCATTCAACAAGAAACCTTCACCAATCGTTCTCTTGGTGATGATATCCTGAAAAAATGACATTGTGAAGGGAGAAAATGACTAGACAGTTTAGAGAATTTGTGATAGCTCCTACTGATAGAAGTTGAAAAGGAAAAGAAGGCATGTAAAGGGCTGCTGACTCTATGTGTTTTGAGAATAAGTTGATTTTTCCTTTTCCTACAACTGTGGCACCCTTCCCATTAGCTACTGACACTTGAGAAAAATTTGTCATTTTTGTAAAATCATGTAAGTTATTGATTTTAGGGAACTTTAACGAAAAGCACTCGGTACTGTTCACTTTAACGAAAAACCACATTTTTACACTAAAAAGTCAATCCTGGTACTATTCACTTTACCCTTTATTTTGTCCTTATCATTAAAACTCAAAGTTTTCAAGCCCTTTTCATTAGTTTTCCTTTGATTTTATTTGTCATGTGATCTGTGGCTCCTGAGTCAATGATCCAATAATCATGTTCATTACTAGCATTTAGGGCAGTAGAGAAGGCACTGAAAATACCTGGGATATCTTTATGTGAAACATGGTCATGTTTAGCCAGAAAACCAGCAAATTTTCCAAGTAAAGCTGTGTGATTCTTCTCTTCAGCTACGGGAGCTTCATCTCTATTGTTAAGCACCTGTTTGCTGTGGAGATATGCTGCAAAATCATTGATTAATGCAGTAGGATTGGTAGTGAAATTCACCATTCCTTCTGTTGACAAGGTAGCTGCATGGTTGGCCTTGTAGCTATTGTTGTTCAGATATTTTTGTGTACCCTTTATCTCTGGACCTTTTGTCTCCTTCAAGAACTTAGGCTTCAATTCCGGATGAAGAATCCAACATCTGTCTTTTATATGGCCAAGAGAATCACAGTAGCTGCACTTTAAATCTAGTCTCTTTCCCTTGTAAACTTTGCCTTCAGGACGTTTGTTGCTAGAGACATAAGCCCTAGTCTCAGAAACGCTGTCTTTAGTCTCTTGATTCATGGCCTTCCTCTTTACTTCTTCCCTTTGGATTATGGCACACACACCAGTGAAGGAAGGGAGTTCAGCATTCATTAAGATGTGACTTTTGAGGTCTTCGAACTCTGGACCTAAGCTTGCCAAGAGTTGAAAAATCTTGTCTTCTTCTGCTCTCTTGATCAACACAGTGTCATCAATGGTATGAGGATGATAAACATCGAGCTCATTCCACATGTTTGTAAGACTACCAAGGTGTTGAACAAATGCTTTGCTTCCTTGTTGTAGACTTGCCAGATTCTTCTTAAGCTAGAAGACACGGGCAGCATTATTTTGATTTCCATACATCTCTTTTACTTGCTTCCAGAGATGCATGGATGACTCGGAATAACTGAAATTTTCAGCAATCTTTCGCTCCATTGAATTGAGCAACCAAGACATGACCAACTGATCTTTGCACAGCCATGACTCGTATGTAGAAGAAGTGACTACTGGAGCTTCAATAGCACCATTTACATAGCCAAGCTTTGATCTTCCTCCAAGTGCAAGAGATACTGCACGACTCCAGGGAAGGTAGTTGAATTCATTCAACAAAACATAATTGAGACGTTGATTAGGATTGACCTCAACGTCAGAAAATGCTAGAGCATCCATCGAGCTTTCAGTTTCAGAGAGTTCTTCAGCCATCTTGGCTTAGAGCAAAAGAAACTTAGTGGAAACGATTACTAGAGTCAAGAATTTAGAGTTCCTGCTCGGATACCATATTGAATTTTTTATGTATATTTCATATATAAAATAGTTACAAGATCAAACATATAGAGAAGAAGAAACGGGAAAGAAAATGGAGGACAAAAGGTAGAGGACAATGGCAGCTAAGCAAGCATAATGATGACCTCCACTCTCTCTAACCTAAGCCACTAACTAGCTTTACAATGATGAGGGAATATTATCACTTAACTATGCCTAAAGTAAACATTAAATAAGAGATGCACCATGACTAAAACAAACAGCTAACACTAGCACTAAGACTAGCCGAAAGCTGCCGAAAGCTGAGCTGTTATCCATCAAAACTAGACAAAAGCTTGCATTATTCTTCCAACATCAACCTTCTACTTTTAGGGTTGAAGATATGGTCCTGCATAATGCAGAAAAAAACTGCTTGGGACATGCGTTGGAGGAAGATATTGATTATTTTGTCATGGATGTCTGAGATAAATGACATGAAAATGTTTACTGCTTAAGCTTGCTATGACCACAATATAGGAAACCACTAACATGAAACCTTTATGCTTCTCTAGAGTCTAGACCGTTATAAGATAGCATCAATCGCTGCATTTATGCCATGGTATAAGGACTTAAAAAAAATTAAAATGCGGAAATGTACGATGAATGTACCTATAACGGTGTTTGATTGTCATAACAAGAAAATTATGACAAATTTTTCTTTTTTAATTTTCAAGTTGTTAAAAAAAACATGTAGACGGATGAAAAATGAGTAAATGGTAAAAAAGAAAGGATAAACGGAACTAAAAAAGGGTAAATGGATAAACGGGTACTAAACGGTTACGGTTAAATGAGTACGTGGTTATGGGTATGGTTAACCGTTTATAAATGATTATGGGTATGGGTATAACCGTTTAGGCAATTACTCAACGGGTAAACGGTTATGCGGGTACGAGCATAAATGGTTATGGATAAATAACCGTGGTTACCCGCCCGCCATAACCGTTATCCATCCCTAGTCATGGATGGTGTATGAATTCCGAGTAATTAGGCATTCCTTGTACTGTCTTTTTGCTTCAATGAAGCTGTTTGCATTAACAAATCAGAACTTCCATAACAAATCATATTTGACATTTTGATTATTTGTAAATTCTGAATATCTCATTGATAAAGCAAGGAGAACCCGTACAATGCTGTGTTAAAGCAAGGAAAACCCGAAAAGATAATCGAAATGAGTGACTTGTTTCAAATGTTATAAGCCTACGTAGTCTATCCAACCAACTTTTATATGAAATATTGAAAAAGATTTTTCCTTCCGTTGTGTTACACTGTAGGCATTATTGTTCTAAGGCGCCACTTTCGAAGCAAAGCAATGGCCACATTGGATTCTGATGTCCCGATGGTTCCGGTAGGTGAGGGTTCGAGCAGTGCAGGTTCTTCGACCAAGAAGCCCAAGCGGTTTGAGATCAAGAAGTGGAATGCTGTCGCTCTATGGGCCTGGGGTAACCACCCTAAACCGTAGTTCCGGTTCCTCTGATTTCTCTTAGGTTTAGCATCTGAATATATTTGGTATTTGAATTGTGTACTGATGCTGTTTTGCTCTTTGTATGCAGATATTGTTGTTGATAACTGTGCCATTTGCAGGAACCATATCATGGATCTCTGTGAGTTGTTTTCTTTTCGTTTTTTATTTTCGTTTCATTCTCTCGTTGATGTGTTAATACTATGTTTTAAATGTTTGGTGGTGATTAGGCATTGAGTGCCAAGCAAACCAGGCAAGCGCGACGAGTGAAGAATGTACAGTTGCTTGGGGTATGCTCGAGCTTTCAAATGCTAATACTTTTGAAGTTTTAATGTTTAAGATTTTGTTCTACTTTAGAGCACTTACTTTTGAAGTTTTATATACTGACTACATGTGCTGCCGGTAATGATCCTTATCCTTCCTAATCCTTGTGTGGTTTTCATTGTCTGAATTGCTGGTTGTTATATATCTTTGTAGGGGTTTGCAACCATGCATTTCACTTCCACTGCATAAGCCGATGGCTCAAGACACGCCAAGTGTGTCCGTTAGGTAGATTATGCCTTAATCGTTCTTTCCCTGGGGCTTCCGTCTTTCTGGAACGATTAATATTGGTCTTTTCCCCTAACTTTTGCTTGTGCTTGTTTTGCAAATGCAGATAATAGCGAGTGGGAATTTCAGAAATATGGTCATTAGAAGCGTCATGTGGCCGAGTATTGGATCTTCCCGGCAATTGCTCAAGTGCTGCTTCTTCCCCAAACTAACTGCTGTGGCGACGTCGACAAGGGTGTCTGATTCTGGATTAGTCTGATTGTGATTTCCTACAATCAAATTTGAAACTGCCTTCCCTTGTTATTACCCATTAAGCATTAAGAATTAAGACTATCATGCTTGTATCCTATTAGCATTAAGTATTAAGCTACATCTCATTTCTCAGTATACGTCTGTTGGGATAATTATTGTATCTTATGCATGTTTGCTTCATTTTCAAGGCTTGTTCGATATCATTTCGTTTTTTATTTTTGGTATTTATGAAGAAGGAGAAAGGATGATATAAGAAAGTTGGAGGAAGGGTGGCAGGAGAAGGTGTTGGAAATTATATATTATAATATTTAATTTTTATACTAATGAAAAATAAAAGTTATGTGTCATAGTTGAATTCAAATTCAAAAGTTGTGTCTGTTTATTGGAACTTTAGGCAACGGTCATAATGTTCAAAAAGGGGTGGTTTGAGTTCTATATAAACTCAAACATCCCACATATCTAAGGGATCGAAGAGAAGAGTTTTTATTTAATGTCTTAGTAAAAATCCGAGTCGTGTCTTGAGAGTACGGAATATATAAAGTTCGTCAGAGCCTGAAGATTAAAGTGTTTTGACTTCAGATTATAGATTGTTGAATCTTGGGAGACGGACGCCTACCGAACTACAAGCACAAGAGTAGGGGTGAAATTCTGTCTTTAGGACATTGCATTTATGAAAGCCTCAATCTCCAAGTTTGTCAGTATTTCTAACTTTCTCCCTAGTTGTTTATATTAATCTTGTATACTATTGATATTGTGATTTTCTTTATGATTATTATCATTGGAATTATATTGTTATTTTTCATATTTTCTAATATTGCTCCAATAGAAGGAATATAAACGGGATATATAAGACGTGAAATGATACCCCAATGAAAATTATAAACAGAAAATTCAAAACATTTACTTTCATGTATTTTTCTTCATCTCTCCCTCCCACAAACCGAGCATGGACCGAATCAAATTCCAACTAAACTGATTACTAGTTCCCGTGATGATAAGGTACTTGGAAGGTAGCCTTTGCGGTAAAAAGATTAGGCTTTAAGCCCCTGTGGTAAAGTTTTTCAAGATTTAGACCCAAAATTGAAAATTCGGTCAACTTTCCGTTAATTATTAGCGCGTGGGTCACACATATTAGATTAAAACAAAACCCTCCTTTAATTGTTAGCAGGTGGGGCTTACAAGTGAGGCTAACTTTATCTTTTTAGTCTCACGTGTAAGCCTCATGTGCTAACAATTAAAGGAAAGTTGACCAAAATTTCAATTTTGGGCTGAAATCTTAACAGACTTCACCACATGAGGTTAAATTCTAATTTTTTTAGCACAGAATTATCTTCCAAGTAGTTTACCACTACAAGGACTATTAATCCAATTAAACCTTAAGGACGCGTTTACTAATCCGTAATCAAATTGAGAGAAATTTAATTGATGAGGAATTGGATTGAGGAGAAAATGAAATGAGGCGGAATCAGAATCAAATTCTTGTAGAAGTTGTTTACTAAAATTGTTTGGAATTAGAATAGAATTTCATAAAGTTGTTTACTAATTCAGTAGAATCGAAATATAAACCAATATGATTACTAAAATGCCCTTGTCCCAAATCAAATATTTTATATACTTTTTTTAGTAAAATTTGATATAGTATATAATAGTAAGAAAAAATTAAATTGCTTTTTTATTTCATAGACACTAAAATGCTTTTGTTTATTTTTTTGGGTAAATTACAAAAAACTACATCAACTATTGATTTCACGACACTTTCATACCTCATCTTTTAAAATTGACAATGCCATACCTTATCTTACGAATTTGTGACAATGTCAGACCTCGGTCAGTTCTTTTGTTAATTTTTCTATTAAATGCTGACGTGGCCCGACACGTGTCCTATTCACTAATCCAACTGGATTTAAAAATAATTAAATATATTTTTAATAATTAAATATTCAAAAAATTAAAAAAATTAAAAACTAAAAAACTGAAAAATAAATAAAAAATGGCCTAAGGATCCAGCCTTCCCTTCCACCCGCAGCAACACCAACCCTTCTCTCTCTCTCTCTCTCTCCCCTCTCTTCCTCCTTCTTTCTGGGTTGCAGCCATTTTTTTTTCTTCTTCTTTCTGGGCGTTTTTTTCTTCCTCTTCTTCTTCTTCTTCCTTCTCCTTCTTTCTGGGTTGCAGCGTTTTTTTTTTTTTTGTCCTTTTCTTTTTCTTCTTCCTCTTCTTCTTCTTCCTTCTCCTTCTTCTTTCTGGGTTGCAGTGTTTTTTTTTTCTTTTTCTTTTTCTTCTTCCTCTTCTTCTTTCTGGATTGCAACATTTTTTTTTTCTTTTTCTTTTTCTTCTTCCTCTTCTTCTTCTTCCTCCTCCTTCTTCTTCCTCTTCTTCTTCTTCCTCCTCCTTCTTTCTGGGTTGCAGCGTTTTTTTTTCTTCCTTTTCTTCTTCTTCCTCCTCCTTCTTATTTCTGGGTTGCAACGTTTTTTTTTCCTTCCTCCTCTTCTTCTTCTTCCTCCTCCTTCTTCTTTCTAGGTTGCAGGGGGTTGGGTTTTTTTTTAGGGGGGGTGGACCTGGTCGAGTGAGGCGTTGGAGCTGCACTGAGGCACAGCTCCATAGCGAGAGCTTGGAGAAGTGGTCTGTGGCTGGTGGCGGTGGCGGGTAGGGGTGGTGGGTTTGGGTGCAGCAGCAGGTGTTGTAGGAGCTGGTGCAGCAAATGGCAGTGGTGGGAGGGGGAGATGTTAGGGCAGTTGGGGTTGGGGGAAGACGGGAAGGGGAAGAAAGGGTGAGGGGATAAGGGTGCGCAGAGAGGGAGAAGAGAGAGGGGTCCCAACATCCCTTTAGGCCATTTTTTATTTTTTTTATTTTTGATTTTTGAATATTTAATTATTTTTTAATCCAGTTGGATTAGTGAGTGGGACACGTGTCGGGCCACGTCAGCACTTAACAAAGAAATTAACAAAAAAACTAACGGAGGTATGCCATTGTCACAAATTCGTAAGATGAGGTATGCCATTGTCAATTTTAAAAGATGAGGTATGAAAATGTCGTGACACCAATAGTTGAGGTAGTTTTTTGTAATTTACCCTTTTTTTTTATATAAATTTAAGTATTTACTTTAGTATCTAAATTTTCTCGCTCAAGTTGTAGTTTCTTCTCTTCGGCATATGTATAGAGTTGTGCATAATGTGAGTCTAGAATAGTCTTGGAAATAATGAAAGCAAGTGACGGCATAAAGGGAAAAAAATTATCATTCTGATTGCTTGGGCAATCCGGAATCCAAATATCTTCTTCATGTTGGGAATTCAAATCAACCAAATCTTGGAATTGGATTCTATTTTTTGTGTGGGCCCCACGCACTTTTGATTCCTTCCAATTTTAGTAAACACATGTATAATCCGTAATCGGAATCGGATTTTTTATTCTCATTCTGATTACGAGTTAGTAAACACGCTATAATATTATTTAGTTCAGTTACAGGCTTTAGAAGCAAGGCGACCTTGGCAGTGCCCACCTGTGTTTGTATTTATAAGTAAAAAACGTCTAATCAATTCTATTATTCCTTCACTTGCAGAAGCACAAATTATCTCCCAAAAACAGAAAAAGAAAATTATAAATTATAAAAAAAAAATAAAAAAGACAATGAAGGATAGAATTGTAATTCTAGTAATAAATAAAGAGGACTTGGGATCCAAGTAGAACCATCTTCTCAAAACTCTCAGCTTTGATCTGTGAGGGGTAAGGCTGCTACACCAACTCCAGATCCTCCACAGTTCTCTCACTCATCTCTCAGCTCTCTCTCTCTCTTCAGGTAACTGCGGTTGTATTTCCCCCCTTTTTTTTATCAAGATTTCTGGAATTATTTGGGTATCAAACCATGGAAATATTATTGAATTATTGTAATTATTGCAAATTTCTGGTGATTTGGTTCCTGGTATTTATAGATTGGCAGCTTTGATTTCAATTTCTGGGATTCTTAGAATTGTTGTTATGAATGTGATAGGATAATTCCTATCAATTGGTAAATTAGAGTAAAGGAAAGGAATTTGACAAGGAAAGATAAACGATCACTTGGAGAGGGAGGAGATCAACCTACAGGGTTTATACCTGAGTAGTTGTATAGGCACAATGGCAGCAGCGACGACTTCACAGAAACTACAATTTCAGTTCAATTAGGGTTTCTCCATTCCCAAATTCTAGCATTTCTCCAAATTCTTTGGATTTCCCGTTGAAATTAAGCTATAAATTGCTCTAATTTCTTATATTTTCGTATTTTGGTTGAAATTTTCTTTCTATCCTGAAGAAGAAACTGGGAATTGGTGAAATTAAGGGTTAGGGTTTGGATCGTAAAGAATGTCCAAAGTCAGGGATAGGATGGAAGATTTCAAAGATGCGGTGCGCCACTCTGCTATATCAATGGGTTACAACGAGGTTCGTAGATTAATTCTATTTATCTCTCTATTTTTGTACAAATATATGATTTTTCTTGCGAATTAAAGACGTTCATCTGAAAATTTACAGTCCAAATTGGCAGCGATTATGGCAAAATTCATCATCCATGCACCCCGGCAGCGGTCGCCTTTCACCAGAGCTGCCCTCAAGACGGTATTTACACATTTGCCACTCTGCCTGTTCTTTTCCATGATCTTTTATCTGATTGCGTTTTAATCCGTTTCCTTTGATTAATTGGGTTAGCTTGAAAGCATAGGAGCTCTGGAACAGTTTATGTTGAAACATCGAAAGGATTATGTGGATCTGCATCGCACCACTGAACAGGAGAGGGATAGCATTGAGCATGAAGTAAGTTATCAATTGACAAATCTTTGCTTATTGTTTTTTTTTAAACTAAGTTATGTCGCTGCGAGATTTCAGGCTCCCACAGCTTTATTGGGTTGTCTTTGGATGAGGGAACTCTAAAATTCTCATCTTACAATTATTACTGTTGTTTGTGCTGACAAAATGATATACTGGACAACTCTTCAGAATTGTCCTTTTTCAGACGTAAAAGTGTTAGATTATGCATTCCTACTTTACAGAGTTACTGAGAAGTTGATGTTACCAAACTTTGATTTCAGATATGCTATTCAATTTGATTTGAACGTGTGTTTAATGTGGATATTTCTATATGTAAGAATGAGTTGTAGATTCCGTAATGTTGAGCTTGTTTCGATTTGCATGCATAAATCCAATGCATTCAGTATTCATTTGACATTTGTGTAAGAACAATATCTCGTAAATTGCTTGTGATCTACTTTTGATTCTTGATATTTTGTACTTTTCTTCTTGTTGTGTCTTGACTCTTGAATGAAGCTGTATGATTTTGCAGTGTGCTTACTTTTTTCAATTTGTCATGATGTGCAGGTTGGTGCTTTTATTAAAGCATGCCAAGAACAAATCGATGTTCTAAAAAATAGCATTAATGATGACGAGGCAAACTCAAAGGGCTGGCTTGGAATTAGGACTGACTACTCCAACGCTGATACCATAGCACACAAACATGGTGTGGTATGATTCTTTCTCAGTTTATACTAAGGATACTTAGTGATATTTATTTTTATGCCCCGATAAGCCTTTGCACTCTCAAAGGAGAAACCATGAATTTGTCCTCCCTGGTCGTGTTTGATATGGGAAGTCGTGTAACTTTTTTAGTAGTTCTTTCTTGAGCTAAATTATATTACCAGATTATTGGGTGATTGTTAATGTTCAATCGAGTTAATTAGGATTCCATATTCGTCAGTGTAAACATATTTGCAAGGAATGAATGGCATGTTTGCTTATGTAATTATCCAATGCATATTCTGAAACTGCAGGTTTTGATTTTAAGTGAGAGACTCCATTCAGTCACGTCACGGTTTGATCAGCTAAGGGCCATACGCTTCCAAGATTCCATTAACAAAGCAACACCAAGAAGAAAACCTAAGCGGATTAAGACTTCAGCATCCACAGACACCTCTAACTCTAACAATTTGGAGCTCAGGGAACCTAATGAATTTCAACCCGAACCTCTAACAGTGCAACAACAACTCTTGGATGATGAAACACGTGCCCTTCAGGTATTCTAATACTTAGCCGTCTGTCTATTCTTTAGACTTTGCTATTCCAGTATTTAGAAACCCTCTATTGCATAAAGTTGCTTAGTGCTGCTCTTGGTACGCAATGCAGGTAGAGCTGACTAGCCTTCTAGATGCGGTTCAGGAAACTGAAACTAAGATGGTGGAAATGTCTGCGCTGAATCACCTTATGTCCACACATGTTTTGCAACAAGCCCACCAAATAGAGCAACTGTACGATCAGGTAGGTGGATATAAGATATATGTTGGTCCATAGTCGTCGGTGGTTGTTTTGTCCCACTATTTGCTTTGAATTGTCAGTATTCTTTTATAAACGGATAAATAAATGTTCCAACAGCTGCTGATAATTATCTTCTATTCAACAGGCAGTTGAAGCAACAAAGAACGTAGAGCTCGGCAACAAAGAGATCTCCAAAGCAATCCAGCGGAATAGCAGCAGCAGGACCTTTCTTTTTCTTTTCCTATTTGTACTTACGTTTTCGATTCTCTTTCTTGATTGGTATAGTTAAACATCGTATACATTATATTCGTTAAACTTTCACACAGGAAATCGGGAAGAACTGAAAAGTTGAGTTGAGTGATGTTTACTTGTTCCTCTTAATCCCTTCCCAGTTTAATGATACGATTGTAAATCTTCCTCTCCCAGATTTTGTTTTTAGTGTATATGTGATTTCCTCGAATATATACGTATTTGTGACTGATATATCGGAATCGTGTCTCCTGTATTTTGTACGTGTTTGTGACTCATCCTTAATATATTGTAAGAGAGCCAAATGGCATTTAATGTTGAATGCTCTTAACTAATCGAATAACAAGCTTTAACCAATCAAACTATAAGACCATAATTTTTTACATGCTAATAATAATACACTTGAAAACACTATCTTGGAAAAGAAAAAAGGATGCGATTTCCACATAACTAAAGAACTCTGTTTATTTCTAGCTTTTTGGAATGAATACATCAAAGACACGTAGAAATGGGTGTATGAAAAGAGAATGAGTGTGCAAAAGTCATTTTTCTATTGAAAATGATAAAAAAAATTAGTGTTTTAAAAAACTCGTCCCAAGGCATATCTAGGTGGCTTTGGAGGCAGGATGGGAAGAAAATCGCCTCTGTTTTATGAAAACCGGTGAAAGAATCGCCTAGACTTGATCGGGGTGCGACCTGGGCAATCAAGGCTCACCTCAGAGCGTTCGATTGGGCAGCCAATGCGCGCCATAGGGCGTTTGGTTGAGCGGGCAGGGCATGCTTTTAGCCTTTACAACAACAAAAAAACAAGCAAGCAAACAAACAAACAAAAAACAATGAAGGGTATATTTGTAATTAGGCAGACAAAGAAACAAATTTTGGTGTCCCAATATAACAGCATCGGCCCTCGCTCACAGGCCCACTCCAACTGTCGTTCTTTATTCAAGTCGGCAACAATTCCAGATCCTCCGCAGTTCCCTTACTCATCTGATCTCTCAATTCTTTCTCTCTCCCTCACTCTCAGAGGTAGCTGCCGTTGTATTCCGTTTGCTGCTGCCGATCTGCAGGTACAGCTTCAATTTCCGTATAAATTTGACATTTTTCATGCTCTAGAATTTGGGGATTAAGCCATGGATTTTGATGTGCAAATTACTAGTGATTCGGTGCGTGGGATTTAGAGATCGGGAGGTTTAATTTCATTTCTGGGATTATTATAATTGTTGTTACGATTGAATCCTTTCTGTTAGAGGCTAGGATAAATTATTTCGTAATCCAGTGGCTTTTTGAGATAACTTGTTGAAAGAATTTCTTCATTTGTGATTCAAATCCTAGCCAGTTTAATACAAGGTAGATTTCTATTTGATATAAGCTAGGTTTCATGCCCTTTCAGAGGTTTTTGCTCGACATTAAAATTCACGCAGATGAGCCACTCAGGACTACGTCTATAGGTATTCTTCTTCACTTTGTATGTGAGAGGTTCGATTCTTTCAAAGGAAAATTTGAACCACATTATTGCTAGCATATTATGTGGTTTAGCCTACTCCTCTACCCTTTTGGTGTAGATAATAAAATTTGTTCAAAAAAATAAAAAAATCCACGCAGACGTGGGCGTAACCATATTGGTTGGAGCAGATGTGCTCCCCCCTCCCAAACACCCGAGTTCGAATCCCTCTACCCACAGTTCAAAAAAATCCACTTGATGATAGTATGAGTGTGTGATACTGAGTAACGATGACCGCTTCGGTTTTTCTTTTAACTCGCTTTAAAAGGGAAAGGGGTTAGGATTATAGCTTTCGGTTTGAATATTCTGGTGGTTAAATGAATGTAATTTAACTCTTTCATACATGATGCATCCTCACATATGTGATTCATATCCATTAGATAAAACTAATTTCATAAATTTAGATGCAGCCACAGAAAAAAATAACAGTTCTGGATGAAATCCTTATGATGTCTTTAAATATTATATTAATTATGCAGGAGACTTCATTAACTTTAATTTTGTATTACAGATCAAACAACATGAGCACAATGGCAGCAGTGACAACTTCGCAGCTTTCAAGCTTCTCTGCCATGAATCGTCAGCTCCGCCTCTCAAGACGTTCACTCCTTTGCCCAACCACTGCTCGTCCCAAGTCTTTGTCGCTTACTGTCATGAGCATTGAAGGGGGTTCCAAGGCCAAGAATAGTTTGAGTTACACAAGCGATGCACCAAAAGCAAAGTCGGATCCCATTTTAGATGACGAACATGTTGCTCAACCAAAAAGAGCGGCCAAGATTCATGATTTCTGTTTTGGGATTCCATTTGGGGGGATTGTTCTAGGTGGTGGACTTATTGGATTTATCTTTTCCAGAAATCCTGCCACATTGAGCACTGGCGTCCTGTTTGGTGGAGCTTTGCTAGCCCTTAGCACCATTAGCTTAAAGATATGGAGGCAGGGAAAGTCCAGTTTACCGTTCATTCTAGGACAAGCAGCTTTGGCGGTAGCCCTCCTGTGGAAGAACTTACAGACGTACGCCTTGACGAAGAAAGTATTTCCAACAGGCTTTTATGCTGCCATTAGTGCTGCAATGTTATGCTTCTATTCATATGTCGTCCTCTCTGGAGGAAATCCACCACCGAAGAAGTTGAAGCCATCTGCAAGCGCTGCGTCGTGATAGAAACTACCCGAAAGGCCTAATTAGGAATTAAGGTTATAAACTTTGTATGACGGACTTTTGTATTGTCTATACGAACTAGAGGTGTTTTCTGATGAATAAGAGTGTCAAATTTCAAGTACTGTTTATGTTGGGGCTGATAAAATAGCATGGCGGAGGCTTGGAATGTTAAATCTGCTTCCAGAATTAATTTTGTAGTGGCTGCTGGGATTTAAGGTCATCTCCAACCGATAGCTGGCTAGAGGACCCGTTTTAGCCATCTTCAAGATCTTCCAAGATATTAATATTTTAATAAATAGTACATGGTCATATTTGTCTCCGTCTCCAACCGAGGGCCAGAGGGCTCGTTTTAGCCCTGTTACAAAAAACCGTCTCCAACCGAGGGCCAAACATAATTTATTATTTAAAAACTACAACTTAAATTCAAATCCAACGGCTAAGTAACGTCAGCTAACCGTTGGATTTGAATTTTTTTTGGCTATAAATAGGGTGGATATTGGGATATAATTCACACAATTTGGGATATAATTCACACAACTTTGAATTCAATCTATTTCAATTCAATCTCTTTTAATTCAAGTTTGCAATGAATTCCAACTTTGGATCCTCTTCAGATTCCAACTGGGGGTCTTCATCCAATTCCAAAAGAGAAGCAAAATGGGCGCAAATGAGACGAGAAGATGAGGAGTCTGATGAAGAAGTTCAAGTAAGGCGCAACAAACAAAACAGAGCAGCAGCCATGGTGTGTCAACCAACTGAGGAACAACCTCAATGGGGTGGCTCTATTGCTGGTCGCTCTTACAAACCACGAAACAGAGCGATAACGCATGTCAATCTGATAAACAACTACTTCGACCCCAACTCAGTGTACACAGAAGAGGATTTCAGACATCGCTTCCGGATGAGGCGTCATGTCTTCGAGCGTTTACTTTGTGATGTCCAATAGGTCAATCCGTACTTTCGACAGAAGCGGGACAGAGCAGGCCGCCCTAATTTCTCACCTCATCAGATGGTTACTGTTGCTCTCCGAATGATGGCTTCTGGCTCCCCAGCTAATTCGATGGATGAAACCCATGGTATGTCTGAGTCTACATGCCTTGATACTCTTGAAGAATTTTGTGACACAATTGTTCAGGTTTACAAAGACGAGTACCTCCGCAAGCCAAATCAAGAAGATCTGAATCGGCTCATTCACAAAGCTGAAGACTGTGGGTTTCCAGGCATGACAGGGTCATTAGACTACATGCATTGGGATTGGAAGAACTGTCCCACTGGATGACAATGAGGCTTTAGCAGAAGGTCGAGAAAGCCAACTGTTGTGTTAGAGGCGATTGCCTCATATGACACATGGATCTAGCATGCTTTCGTTGGAGTCCCTGGATCCCAAAATGACATTACAGTTCTTGGGCGTTTACCCCTATTCAATAACTTGATGGAAGGTAAAGCACTTCAACTTGACTACTACATCAATGGCCTCAATACAATATGAGGTATTACTTGGCAGATGACATCTACCCAAAGTGGGCGACACTTGTCCAAGCAATTCCAAACCCTAGGAATGACGCTAAAAAGTTGTTTACCTTACACCAAGAAGCATATCGGAAAGATGTTAAGAGAGTTTTTGGTATTCTATAAGCACGGTGGAAGATAATCAGCAAACCGGCAAGAGGGTGGAGTCGAGAAAATTTGGACTCCATCATGATGTCTTGTATCATATTACACAATATGATAGTGGAGGATGAGCGAGATGAGTATATTGATGGAGAGTCCAATGACGACCAAGAAGATCCAAATAGGTCAAGAATGGCTCGTACAAAAATATATGATGAGCCTAATTTGCCTTTCAATCTAAGAACTAGTAGTATCTCTATAGATAAGTACATGAGGCGCTATAGAATGATACGTTCTCGTGCCACAAACAAGTACCTACAACAAGATCTTGTTACACATCTTTGGGCCCAAAGAAGAATGGAGTAAGCATTTACGTTTTACGTTTTTAAATGTTTTTTAAAATGTTGTTTAAGTTTCATGTTGTATAAATTTTATGTTGGTTAATGTTATTTAATGTTGTTTCATATTGTTTAATATTGTTTCATGTTACTTAATTTAATTTAATGTTATATAATGGCTTAGGAAGTTATAGGAAAAAAAATAAAATTTAAAAAAAATATGAAACAAATTTTGTGAAATAGAAGTTATAGAAAAAAAAAAGAATTTTAAAAAAATATGAAACAAATTTTGTAAAATAGAAGTTATACGAAAACAAATATGAACCAAAATTTGTAAAATATAAGTTATAGGAAGTTATAGAAAAAAAAAGGTTTAAATTCATAAAAACAAAAAAAAAATTTGAATACAACAGCTAGTGACTGGCTAGCCGTTGGAATTCAAATTAGTGTCGGTTTTAACCGACACTGTTCAAACTGCTATTATATTAACATTGCTATTAGTGTCGGTTATAACCGACACTAATAATATAGTAATATATTATTTTTGTCGGCTATAACCGACAGAAATAACAAAACATTAAAAAAAAAATGGCCAGCCCCTGGCTAGCTAGCTGGCTGCATGCAGCCAGCCCTCCAACCCTCGCCGATTTCGTGGGGCCCTCCCAGATTCCAAAGCCCTCTGGCCTAGCCCTCAATTGGAGACAGTTTTCGGGCTATTTTCAGCCTTTTGGCCCTCTGGACCCTTCGGTTGGAGATGGCCTAAGACCCCAATAGAGTCTTTGGTGTTGCTTGTTAGGAGTCTTTGTTCCTATTGACTTTTTTAAATTTTGTTGGCAAGATGGTACTGTTTTTTTAGCAAAATAACGATATTCGTTATGTTAAAAATTTTAAAAAAATTCGCCTAGACTCTAGCTTAAACCCTTGCCTAGATGCGTAGGCACTAAACACTTACTCGATTAGCGCTTAACATCTTTTAGAATCTTAGTTAATAGAATCAAACTTCTTCCCTTCGGAACCAAACTTTACATTTTTAACTGGCTAATTTTAATTTTTACCAAGAACCATTTGATAACACTTAGTTTTTGCTTTTACTTTTTTAACTAACAACTGAAAATTTCTATAGCTTTAAGTTTTTAAAATATTGTAAATGTTGTAGGCCTATTTGACTGAATAAGTATAGAGAGAGGGTATGGCAAGCATAGAGAGAATTGAGTGACTTTTCAAGTGTGTTTTCTCACCTCATTGCGCATTTATTTATCATATTATGAATTATTTATTTCTTTACCCCAATAGTATTACAAATCTAATAGAATAATATCTAAAGAAAATATATGGTAAAATCCCATAAGGATATTTCAAAATAAATAGGATTTACATAATCATATTCTTAAACTATTATGACTGCAACATAAAAGACTTATAAATCCATAGTGTTTAATGGAGTTTCATACACTCCTTGTGAATTTTAGGTAAAATCATTAGAAATCTTAGGGGGAGACGCTTGATTTCCTAAAACCTAAAAAACACTATAAAATCACTCTAAATCCATTAAAATCCTTCATCTTTAAAATACTTGAATATCATATCCTAATTGAATTCACATAGAGTTTTATGAAATACTTTAAAATTTGAAATGAATGCACTCGTATTGCTATGCAATTTATAAACTCTTATAAACTCTTTTAAAATCGTGATTGAGTACCCATGGATTTTCATATATTCAATTGAACTCTTGATTGAATTGTCAAAAAAAAAAAAAAAAAATGAACTCTTGATTGAACACATTGATTTGTAAACTCTTTTAAAATCCTTCAAACCCTTACTTGAATACACCCCCTTAATTTCGATCGCTCAACGCCGCCACTTCCTCTTAGAGTACACGTGCTAACGCCCTACGAAGTTAGAATCGAGAAAGATTTAAACGCTGCTAAGAATGTCCTTAAATAAAGCCAAATTTTAAAAAGTTTGAATGATGGTCAAGGATTGAGAAAAATATGCACAAAAACATAAAAGAAAACACACAAGTGGGAAAGTTAAAATTAGGTCAAACACTGAATAATGCCGTACGCTACATTTACATTTCTCTTCACCAAGTTGGGGTTTTTGCATCTAATGCGCCCATCTTCATCCCCTCATCACCGTCACCTTTCCATTTGTGCACGACCACAACCACATCCACAACCACAAACCCTAAACCATTATTTTATTACAATAAATAAAATAACAAAGGAAATAGGTAAAAACACCAAGCGGACCCCCACAACAACCGGGCACCTACCCATCAGACACGTGTCAACTTACCCCACGGACCCATCCAACCCTCCCGCTGGGACCACTCCACGCGAAGGCCGCCTTGGTAATGGTGCTTTTGAACTTGGGCCCCGCTCCCACCATCACATGGACAGTGAGATGGAGTAGGACCCCCGCAGATTACACCATACAATTACAAACCCTTACTCTCACCCATCTCCTACCCCGTTCCACGGTCCACAATTGTGGTCCCCACCTCCGCCTAATCCAACCCCACTTCACACATGCCTCGCCTTAAAACCCTCCCCTCACGTGACCACGTGCTTCCCCTTTCCCACCCAAAGGCAAAACCCAGCGCCCTCCGCCGCCAAAATCCGAAACCGCGGACGATGGGTTTCTGGGTTTTGCTCCGCCGTCAGTGATTTGAAGAGCCAGACATGAATTGTAGCTCCTTTTTGTCGAAAATTTCCAGCGAGAAGTCCCTCAGCGTCTGAGTGCCGCCGCCACTGCTCGTTGCGGTGGCCGGAGCCGCCGAACTGGGACCAACGAAGGAGGATATGGGTCTGGCCGAGATGTTGATGAAAGGAGCGGCGGGGAGAGTGGTTGGAAACGTAAATATGTGAGGTTGGGTCATCGAGGGGACCATGAAGAAAGCTCCCGGAACGACGGTGTTTGACGGTATGGCCCACATGGGGACCATGCCTTGAGGCGCCACCGCTTGTACAGCTGTTGTCGGTGGTTGTGGTGCTGGTGGTTGTCGTCGTCCTTCCGTTGTTAAAGGGGCTAAACCCGCCGACACTGAGACGCCGTCGTTTAAGTCCACGTACTCGCTGTTGGAGTTGCGCTTGCGTTTCTTCTGGTCGGGAGGGTCGTCCCCGGGTCTCACGTCAGTGGGGATTTTAAGCGACCCGTTCACGGATATAGCAATCGCCGGCACCGTTCCGGTGCCTGTGGCGGCGATGATAGCCGGCTCGGCGTGCTCCAGAAGCCACTGTATTGTGTCCCCATCGGACTTGTGCCCGAGCTCCCGGGTCAGCTGGAAGATCCGAGCCGCGCACGTGGCAGGCATTCGGATCCTCCGTCCCCGGCCCTCAACCTTCGTGTGTCGGTCCTTGGTCGACGCTCTCCTGGGCGCGTGCACCGCCACCGTCATTGGTACGTCTTGCTCCTGCTTCGGCGGCAGCGCGAGAGCCCGAGAGGGGTCAGCGGGGTCTTCTGGGTCGGATTCTTCTCCGCCGTCAATTCCGAGATCGGCTGCTGAGGCTTCTTCGTCCTGGTCTCGGTCTCGTTCATGTTGCTGTTCTTCTTGAATCATGTCCATGTTTGCACAAAAAAATCAAGGGAACCCAGTTGAGAAGAAGCAAACTCGGCGTATCCCAGCAGGTAGAATCAGAGATTTGAAGTTGCAGAAAGAAAAACTGTGGGGCAGGACAGAGAGTGGAGGGAAAAGCTTGAAGACGAAGCGTTTTCTCAATGTGCTTAAACCAACAGGTTTGGGGGATATTCTCCGGTATTTATATTAGTGGATTTGATTAGAGTAATTTGATTACAAATAAATATGAAAGAAAATATTTGAGAAATAATCTACGGTTTCTTCTCCTTTCCAGCACCGATATGTGGGAGCCACACTTGTGATGAGAAGTGGTGGGACCATTTAGTAGGGTTTATCTGTTCAGAATAGGGCTGGGCACGGGCCGGGCCGGGCCCATTTTTGAAGGGACCGGACCGGACCCGGAATTAAAGGAGACGGGGCGGGCCGGGCCGGGCACTACAATTCTGAAAATAGGAACCGGACCTTACCCGGCCCGATTGAAACGGGCCGGTTCGGTCCGGGTACACGGGTCCTTATTTTTTTTTTTTTTTTTTTTTTTTTTTTTGTTTTCTTCCTGTTTAAACATGTTTGCTGCACACAGATTGCAGTTTTTGCTGCACACATACAAACTGCACAAATTGCAGTTTTTGCTGCACACAGACAAACTGCAGATTGCAGTTTTTGCTGCACACATACGAACTGCACAGATTGCAGTTTTTGCTGCACACATACAAACACATACAAACTGCACAGATTGCAGTTTTTGCTGCACACATACAAAACTGCAACAGATTGTTGCACACATACAAACTGCACAGATTGCAGTTTTTGCTGCACACATACAAACACATACAAACTGCACAGATTGCAGTTTTTGCTGCACACAGACAAACTGCAGATTGCTGCACACAGACAAATTCCACAAATTTCACAGATTTCCACAGATTTCACAGATTCCACAAATTTCACAGATTCCACAAATTGCAGTTTGAAAAAACTGACAGATTCCACAAATTGCAGTTTGAAAAAACTGCACAGATTGCAGTTTGCATTTTGCAGTGCACAGATTGCACAGATTGAAAAAAAAATAGCACAGATTGCAGTTTGAAAAAAATAGCACAGAATACAGATTGCAGTTTGCACAGACACAGATTTCACAGATTGCAGTGCACACAGATTGCACAGATTGCACACATCCGCAATAAATTTCAAATTCCAACGCCCAAGTTCCGACAACAATCCTTATTGAATCTGTAAGCAAAAATACAATATAAACATGTCATTTTTAAAGTCCAACATCATATTATGCTCATTGAAATTTAAAGTTTATTCATTTGAGTTGAAAATATTACCGAAATTCCTTTTCCTTTATTCGTTCGAGTTGTTTGTGGAGCTTGAATTTCAGGATCACTTGGTGAGATGGTTGAACTTGTAGATATAGTATTTGCTCTTTTTCTTTTATATTCTACAACAAAGAACAAACGTTAATTGTAAACCAATTAATTTTATAAACCAAACTATAAAAAACAAAATAATTACCTTCTTCACACTCTTGATAAAATTCAAGCTCCGCACAACTTGCTTCATACTCAATGCCAATTGGTTCACTTTTTATCCAGTTTCGGAGGCACATCAATGACTCCACTGTTTGAGGAAGGAGACATGATCTACAAGGGTGAATTAATCTCTTTCCTCCACTAAATGCACTCTCACTGGCAACTGTTGACACTTGAATTGGCAAGACATCTTTCGCTATCAAAGCAAGTGTGGGATATGTGCTCCTCCCTTTCAACTTCCACCATTTCAAAACGTCAAATTGTGAACCATGTTGTGCTTTCTCTACACTGTCAAGGAGATATCTATCCACCTCATGTGCAAGCGCAATATCCTCGGTGTCTTCTAGTTCTTTCTCCCAATCATCCATGATTTGACTAAATATCATTGGATTTTCTGTTGGCACACTAGAAGATGATTCTTTTACCCTTGAAGAAGAAGTGTCAAGAACTAAATCTTCTCTACCCTTTTGTTGTGTTTGTGAACCGAAAGCTTGGTAAGCATATTCATCACACATCGCCTTCAACAATGTCTTCACTAAGATTACTTTTCTGTTCAATCTCTTCTTCAGAAAGTTGTAATTGCTTTCTACACAGGTGCATGTAGTGCCTCAATTTGAACCTTGGGTCTAAGACAAGGGGCAACTACAAATATTTGATTAAGGGACTCAATTGAACCAAAATACTTTCGATATTTGGCTCTCATGTTGAATGCCATATCACGTAGCACCAACTCTACAGTTCTTCCAGTTTGCATATATTCAGGCAAAAAAAAGCTTTTCAATCTCATTTTCCCACAACAATGACATCATGAACCAGCTGTATTAGATGTCGGGATAATTACTTGCACTAACTTTCAAAGTTATAAGATAGAAGGCCTTCAAAAATTCCACAAACACTTCTGCACTATCCCAATCTTCCTCCTTAGGTGGTCCAACCCTCCCTTTACCCGCCACTTCTTCTCCTTCATCATTAAACACCTTTTCACTGAAATAGGTGGTGTATATATTGGCTTCATCATCTTCGGTCATTCTTTCAAATGCTTTTTTAAACTTCAAGCAAGATTCTAGCATCATGTATGTGCTATTCCACCTAGTAGGCACATCCATAACAACTAGACCCCTACTATCCAACTTCTCATTCTCCACACATTTCTTGAAATAACTCAACCTTCGAGGACTTGATCTCACAAACCGCACGGCATTTCTAAGAGCATCCACAGTTGTATCTAATCTTTTCAACCCATGTTTCACTACCAAGTTGATAATATGAGCTAAGCACCTCACATGCATAAACTTGCCATTCATAATCATTTTACTATTAGGCCATTTTTGCATTTTACGAACAACATACTCAATTGCCACCTTATTAGCCGATGCATTGTCAACTGAGATACACATTACCTTTTCAATCCCCCACTCAACCAAACATTGCTCAATCATCTTCCCTATTTCTTTGCCTTCATGACTTGGAATCAAACAAAAGTTTAGAATCCTTTTGTGCATATTCCAATCATCATCCACAAAATGAGCAGTTAGCACCATGTAGTTCAAATTTTGCACACTTGTCCATGTATCAGTAGTCAAGCTCACTCTATGATTGTGTATCTCCTTTTTTAACTGATTTTTCATGCTATCATACATATTGAATAACCCCCTCATCATAGTTCTCCGAGATGGAACATGCAATCTAGGCTGGACTTTGCACATCATCCGCCTAAACCCTTCACTCTCCACAATACTAAAAGGTACCTCCTCGAGCACAATAAACTCAATAATACCTTCCTCACTTTCTTCTTGGCTCCACCCTTTAGCAACAAGCATGTTTTTGACATTCCCATCCCCAGAAGGTCCAGAACTGCCTAGAACCTTTTGCAACTCATCAGTTGGTTGATATGACTTGCAATGTTTATTGATATGTTTTTAATGTAAGTACTAGTTCCACCCCCACTAGTATCACATGCAAAAAAGGAGCTACAATGGTTTACACTTAGCCTTCAATACTTGTACCTCCACCTTCTCTTTCTTTCCATCCTTTTCTACTTCTTGCATTTCCGAGACGGTACACTTAGTGAAATGATCCCAAACCCAAGATCTCTCAGAAGAAGATCTCCCTAGTGAAGCTATTATAGTTGGTTGTTTTGTCTTTGGAATAGGTGGTGCTTTTCTTTTTCTAGAGGACGAGGGGTTTGGGGGAGGCATTGATGGTTGTACGGGTTGTGCTTGTGTTGGTTGTGGAGGACATGGTGATGTAGCCGTAGATGATGCTACATTAGTACTGCTAGGGGCACTTTGACTTTGAGATTGAGACATTATGTAAAAATCTGTAAAAATCAAATAATGGAACTATATTCATTAATCAAACAGAAGCAGGCAGCACAACACACAGATTGTTGACCAACAAAAGACCAAAAAGGCTGAGAAGTATCATCATGTTATTAATTTGTGCAGTGTGTGACTGTGCAGTTGCAATCTGTGCAGATTGCAATCTGTGCAAATCTGTGCAGATTGTGCAGTTTGCAATCTGTGCAGATTGTGCAGATTGCAATCTGTGCAGTTTGCAATCTGTGCAGATTGTGCAGTTTGCAATCGGTGCAGATTGCAATCAGTGCAGTTTGCAATCTGTGCAGATTGTGCAGTTTGCAATCGGTGCAGATTGCAATCGGTGCAGTTTGCAATCTGTGCAGTTTGCAATCTGTGCAGAATTGCAATCTGTGCAAATCAAATAATGGAACTATATTCATTAATCAAATAAAGATATTTTGAAATAATTACTCTCTGGGATGGGAAACAGAAGCAGGCATCACAATTAAACAGAGTGAACACACAACACACAGATTGTTGACCAACAAAAGACCAAAAAGGCTGAGAAGTATCATCATGTTATTAATTTGTGCAGTGTGTGACTGTGCAGTTGCAATCTGTGCAGATTGCAATCTGTGCAAATCTGTGCAGATTGTGCAGTTTGCAATCTGCGCAGATTGTGCAGTTTGCAATCTGCGCAGATTGTGCAGTTTGCAATCTGCGCAGATTGTGCAGTTTGCAATCTACAAGACCAAAAATAATAAACAGATTAATAAAGACAAACAAAAGACATCTAGTTGTATGAATATGACAATCAAGTACTTGTACTACGAAAAACAGAACAAAAACAAAAATACAGCAAGCAATACAGAAAATATTTTGAGGAAAAACTCCACCTCCGAAGTCTTCAAGGTTAAGTAGAAGATATCAACAGGTATCTTATGATTCCAGTGCTTGGAGAGACGAAGAACCGCCTTTGCAGAAGCATGCCTCAAATGCGCCTTCTCAACTGAACTGTAAATCACAAAACTTTACATGAAATTTGATGCCTCATATTACAAAAATTGTACACAATCCGCACAGATTTGCAAACTGCACAAATTGTTTGAAAAAAAAAAAATTTGATACCTCGGATAGAAGAATCAAACCAGATACACACTCACTGAGCAACAATCAGCACTATAAGAAATAAAAAACCCAGATAGTTAGAGACACCCATTTCCATATGAAGATTAAACTACACTCCCAGAAGCAAATAATCAAAGCAAGCAAGTTCCCTTGTTTTCATGTATCATTCTCTTCTAGTGATTCTTCAACTTCTCTACATCTCTAACAGTAAAGTAGAAAAATTTGACACCTTCTAAGGTTAAATTCAGTAACCCAGAAGCAGAAACTGATTTAAGCCAAAGTCCAATAACTACTTCCCAAATTAAGAAAAGCCCTTGTCTTTAATCTACTTCCAGGTAAGGACAGCTTGAAGACTACATATATATAGATATATTTACCAAATCAGCAGCTAAACCAAGTTAGCTCTGCAGCTGACACGATCTTGGTGCAATCTGAAACACAGAGATAGCATTCCACAGTTATCATTAACAATGAAATAATCCAAGGGAAAGTGATGCCTAAAAGAAAAATCTAAAAGGGTGCAAGCAAAAAAGTAAAATGGTACCAAACTCAAGTGTAAAAAGATGAAATTTTTATACTTACAGAATCAGCAGGAGTTTAAGCAGTGCACATCTTAAACTACTTCTTCTTGTTAAAAACCACCTGAACCGAGTGAACAAAGTAAATAATCAATTCAAATTTCAACAGGAAAGAGCTTCCTAAAAAATCCAAGAGACTAAAACATAAACCTAGTCAAATATGAGTTAAATCAGAAACTTTAAACCTAGTTATACCTAGTTATACTTCATGCCTCTCAAATCAGAAACTTTACATTGTTTGGCACAGTTATACCTGAATAAATGCACAGGCACAGCTATAAAATGCAACCATGTTTTCCGAAATAGAGGGTTAAAGTTAAACACAGCCTCTTACAAATCTTATCAACATGCAAATGGAAAATTAACTCTAGTAGTAACCTAGTTCGAAAAACCCTAAAATCCCAAATTCCAATTTAAAAACCCTAAAAATCCCTACACCCAAAATTCAAATTAACAACAAAACCCTAATTCAAAATTACCTAAATTTTAGAGGGATGATGGCCTGGGTTCTCTGGCGGTCACGACGGTGATGGGGTGATGGAGTCACGACGGCGGGGTTGCTGTCGAAGAGGAGAGAATCGACCGGCAAGGGTGATGGCCTGGGTTCTCTGGGATGTTGTCGATGGCAAGGGTGGTCCCGTTGTATTCGCCGAGGAGAAACGACGGTTGGTGAGGGGATCGGAGTCGAGGGAAGGAAGGTTGGTGAGGGGATCGGAGTCGAGGGAAGGTCTGAAAGTTTGAGAGAGTGAGAGAGTGAGAGAGTCGGGACTCGGGAGGGAATCAGGATGAGAGAGAGATAGAACTTAGGGTAAAACTAAAACAACGGTTCAGATTAGATATGGTATCTTATTCATCAATCTGGTCCATTCATTTTAATTACAAACGGGCCGGTCCGGGTACCCGCGGTTCCTATACCCAGGAACCGGCCCGGACTGAAATTCACAAAGACCCGCCCCGGCCCGCCCCGTTTCTTTTTTTTAAAAGTAGAAACCGGCCCGTACCCGCCCCGAACCGCCATTACCCGCCCCGACCCGCGGTTCCTGTACCCGTTTGCCCAGCCCTAGTTCAGAATAGGATCCTCTTTGTGAGGATCTAAGACATCAATTAATCATGTTCGTTCATTATATATAATGAGAAATTTAAAATTGAATATAAACAGTACCTAACAAAAAATGACCGCACGATATACAATGAACAGACACGATTGATTGATCCCTTGAATTCCCACAATGAGGATCTGTAAAGGATCCTTGTCCTATCTGTCGGGTTGAGTCAAGGTGTTTGATGGGTCCCAATGAGAAATGCACTCCTAAAAACTATTCTAACTCTTGGAATAAAACTCAAATTTTAGGTTTTAAATTTATTCCAACTTGCTCTAACATTTGGGGTAAATATGAGTTAAAACCCAAAACTCATTTATAAGACAAATTTAGCCCAAGATTCCCCTGAGTTAATAGGGATGGCCCATTATATATGTGTATTTTGTTTATATTAATAAATTTATTGAATCCAACGGCTAATATCTAATTTGATCAAATACAACGGTAAAAAATATATATATATAATGGTCCAAATTTAAATCCAATGGCTAAAGTAATTTAAAAAAATTATTTTATGTGTTTCATACTCTTTCGTGGTGTTCCACAAGTTTTATGGTGTCGGTTTAGTGATTTTTTTAATATTTATCGGAATCTAAATATTTGTAGGTTAAAATGTTTATAAAATTAAATTATGATCGTCTCCATAATTTTTTTTTAAATAACTTTAAGAAAAAAAAATCCAAAATTCATTCTTTAATAATCTCATACTAAAAATTTAACCCATAAGGGTTGGAGGAGAAAAACTGTTTCTGAGTTAAAAATTTTAGGTTTTAATCCAAGGGTTGGAGATGGTCTAAAAGTTACTCAATTTTTATTTGTTTGGAAGTAGAGTAAATTGCCGATTTCATCTCTAAACTTTTACTTACCTTTTTTATTCTCCCTAAAAATTTTCATTGTAAAATTAAGAACTTAAGCTAATTTTTTTTGGCCAATTTCGCCCTGCTATTAGTTTTTCACTCATTCCATCCAATTTCTGTTAAATGGAAGTATATGCACAACATGTGAGGATAGTTATGTCGCTTTGTTCTTTAAAATAATTGAAAACCCTAGATTTCTATAATGTTAGCCTATGCAAATATATGTGATTCTATAGCTTTTGTGTCTGAATGACACACCCAACCCTGATATCCTCTAAACACCAGGGTAATCACGTGCTGGCCAACATCTGAGGGTGACGAAGCCATATTAACATGCATGTAAAAATATGAAGAAAGAACGAATGTAAGACAAAACACGTAAACTTAACTATAATGAATATGCAAATGTGGGAACATGTTCATAGCATACAACTAATCAAGAATATTGTAGAAGGAATATTATGAAAAGGTACGAACAAAGGAATGGGTCCTATACTGAGAGGACTTGAAGATACCAATGCGGGAGTGCCCTGACACTGAGATTGTACGACTCAATTCTAAGTCATGAAGGGGGCGCAAGACATAGCATGAGTGGACCAAATTTATATATAAGTAATACTAAAATCAACTACTCTTCAAACGTATTAACCCCCAGTTTTAGAAACTCATATAGAATAATAAACAATAGGTTTTTCTGAAACCATACCATGCCATAAAACCTTGGATTAAAACATATATCGTATATAGTGTGCTTAGTAATGGTATCACAATAGCCCAAAGGCACTACATTGCCTACCTGAAGGCATTTATATATCTTCCACCCGAAGGCACTACATTGCCCGCTTGAAGGCACATATATCTTCTGCCCGAAGGCACTACATCGTCTGCCCGAAGGCACATATATCTTCTGCCCGAAGGCACTACATTGTTCGCCCGAAGGCACATATATCTTCCGCCTCAAGGCACTACATCGCCCACCTGAAGGCACATATATATGAATATCTACTAAGTAAGCACAGAAAATCATGAACATAATCTTTCCAAAATATATCTCATCAAAGCTCAATAGCTCAAATATCATATCATAAAACCATATTCATACATATTTCAGTAAATGTAAATCCGATAAAGCAGGAGATTTTATAAAGCGTAAATCTGATAACTCATAAACGTTTAATAAAACGTCGTTGTAAAATCATGATTTTCATGTATGCATTTCTAGCAATAAAATTATGCATTTTAGAAGGGGTCCACTCACAAATACTCCATCACCGAAGAGCCGCTCAAACTAGAGAAGACGGGGTCGTCACTAACAAACGCATCTAAGCACATAAAAGAACCAATTAGTAAAACTCTACTAAAACGATTGAATTTTGGAAAATGGAGTGCGGTTTTGGAATCAAGACGTCGAAATTAGTCTAGAAGAGGTCCCAGAAAAATTTCGTAAAAGTCAAATATTCCAGGTAATTTCCCTAATGGAATATTCTAGGATTCCTAACAAAATATTTCAAAGAATATTCCATTCGGATCCGGGTCGGGTCAAAACAGTGTTTTGGTTGCAGGTCGGGTCGACCATTTTCCACGAAGAAGAAAGCTGGAGTTTGGAAAGCTCAATTCATCCCCAAATCTTAACTAAAACTAGTCATTCAATATACCAAATTGAAGCCTAAGGAACAAGGAAGAATATTATACCTATCCCATGGCCAGTCGTGGCCGAAGTTGATCAAAAAATGGTCTGGAAGGCTCGGGTTCTCGTTGGAATAGGGGGAAGTCTCCTCGAGCTATTTCTGCGATGCTTCGACGTCCACAACACACAAGCACAATAAAAAACAAACTACAAGGACAAAATGAGAAGGTTTAGAGTGTTTTCGAAGCTTACCTATGTCGGTATAGGTGAGAGTTTGCCGGAGAACATTTTGAACAGTGACAGTGCCATTGTATCGTGAGAGGGAGAGAGGAGAATGAGCCTTGGTGGTCTGGGGTCATGACGGGGAGTTCCTGAGGGTGATGGGGTTCGCCAGACTGGCAAGGCTAGTGATGATGGAGGTGGTGTCGTGTGTGAGTTTGAAGAAATGGAGAGTTACAGGGAGTTGAGAGTGAGAGAAAGAAAGAGAGAGATAGTGAAGATGAGAGACAAAGAGTGACGGGGAGAGGGAATAAGGATAGAAGGCCAGGAGACCAAAACAAAGGGGTGGGCCCCACTGGAAAGCCCAAAAAAGACGAACATGAAAAATATCTCCCACACGTGAAATTACCAATTTACCCTCGTTCCGAAATTTGTGAAATTCGGGATGGGTCGTTAACTGAAGGTCTAGTGAAGTGACCTTTTTGTTCTCAAAGGAGAGTCACATGATATGCACGTGATAAAAGTTAATGTTAATAGGAAATTATATTCATACACCCCAAGTTACTTCTCCCACACTATTTTAATTTTTTAATATTTTTCTATCAAGTGTTAGTGGTGTGTAGAAAATATTAAAAAATAAAAAAAGTAGAAGTAATTTGGAGTACGTGAATATAATCTCTCAACGTTAATTTGGATTGAATCTATAGAAAACTAAAGATAAGGGAGTTTGGCAAAAAAAATTAGTTTAAGTTCTTGATTTTCCAATTGAAAAGTTTAGGATAAAAAGTTAAGTGAAAATTCATGAGGGAGATTGGGAGTATA